ACCCGCGGCGACGATCCAGAGCTCGATGGGCCACTACAGAGTGGCCAGAAGTCGCCGATAAAACGGTGTTTCTTTAGTCGGAGGTTCACCCATTTGATAGTGAGAAAAGTAATAGTAATAGTAATAGTAATAAATAGTAATAGTAATAGCAATAGTAATAGTAACAATAATATTAATAATAATAACAACAACAACGATGGAAATCAGCTTTTGCTGGGAGAGTTTCCAAGGAAAACCACTCCCAGGTCTCTGCAAAGAGGGGAGCAGGGAGAAGGGAGCTGCGGGTGTCTTTTGTGAACATAAGCCTCGACTCGTCTTTGTGTTTGGGAAGGGGAGAATGGAGCTCAGATGAGAGATTTATTATAGAAACACAGTTAAAACACGCAGGAGGTAGCTGTGGGGACCAGGCGGTGGCTGACCTCTGTCAGGGAAGGGGAGTTCTCCCTTGGGGGACTGCCGTGAGCTGTCCCTTTGCCCGAGGACTGCAAGGCCCTTCTGCAGCCACACTCCCAGCAGCAAAGGACCTGGAGGAAAGGCCCATGGGCAGTTCACTCACCCCAAGAGGGATGCTGCTGGGCTCCATCTAGTAAAACCAGCTTTTGCGAGCGGTGTGGACCCGGCCGGTCCCAGGGCATGGGAGCCCCCCTAGGCAGAGACCAGAGGGACAAATCCCCTCTGCTGCAGCTGGAACCTTTCCGCAAGCAGAAGGGCTGTCCTCCCCCTGTCAGGTACAGGTACCCGAGCATGTCGGTGTCTCCTGGCCGGTCGTTATCACGGGTCTGCCAGTGGAGCCTTGCCCTCAGCATCCTTCCCTGCATCCCTCCCCAAGGGGCACCACCGCATCCTGCGTGGATGGCTCTGTCATTTCTTCTCCCCTTTCGGCAGGTGACAAATGGCGGTGGCTGCTGGGGACACCGATGCTGGGACCCCGAGGGCACATGCCCTGCGGAACACCTGGGTGCTGACACCCCGTCTTTCCTGGAAGTGATGTTCATGCCTCGGTGGTCCCGGGAAGGTCATTTCTCCTTCCTCGGAGCCCACTCGCTTCGGAAGTACTAGGGACCTATTCGGGGCTCTGCAAGGCTGCGGAGACCCTGTGGGTCCCCATAGTTAGCCCTGTTGGGGAGCCCACTGCCCGCATCCCCAGCCCAGGGCACTGGGGCGGGCGGTCACGTCCAGGGTCTGTTGTGCCCGGGACTGTGCACCTAGTGACAGCACTGGGAGACCGGATCCTGCCCCAAACGCGTCCGTTTGTTTTATGCATCTCTCCGCAATATTTGGGAGCAGACGAAGTCTCCAGCTTGGTTAATACTTAGCCCCACAATGTACGGTCCCCTCGGCTTTCAGTACCCGTGTTAAAAAATAACCCCTTAATCCTTGGTGTGGGCAATTCCGTTTTGTCTTTCCTCACCTCTCCGTGCAGACGGATTTTAGATGATACCCTGAAACGGGGAGCCAGCTACCCTCCCCTGCCTGGCGCTACAAATTCCCCCCTACGTGCGCTAACAACAGAGCATCGGTGCGATTTCGACGGGTTTTTGGTTTAGAGTTGGGAAGAAAACAACGAAAAAAGGTTACTAAGCCTGGAAATAGGGCTGAGCCCCGGGGAAACCCCTCTCCATCCTCCGTTCGGCTCAGCTCAGGAGAGCTTTTCGTTCTGGAAGACATCGGGGACCGGGGCTCACAAAACTCAGTGCACCGAAAGGTTTCTCCGGCACCGCTCTCCCCATTTTACCGCTAACCCGGGTGAATTTACTGCTGGAAAAGCTAGAAATGGCTACCCATTCTGTTTGCATGCCACAGTGCTCTGCCCAAGCGCTGTGAAAGGGGGGCAACCCTTCTCGAGGGTCCTGCTTAGAATATGAGGGCATTCCCAGCACCGGGCCCTATTACTAAAGGGAAGAAAACTTGCCCTAGAAAGCATGGATGGTTTAGCAATACCAGCCTGGATTTACAACTGGATTTACACCTGAATTAACAATTCGGGCTGCCTTTGAGGGCAAGCTCCTTCGCGGAGTGGTGGCCGGAGCATCACTCGCAGGCTCCCAGCTCTGCCCCTACTCAGCACCGCTGTTTCCCTCTGTACCCAGGTCGTCAGCTCATAATCCCAGCCAGTCAAAAAGCATCCCCCAGGGGAAAGTATTCTAGCTATCCGTCCCTGAGCAGGGATATAAATACCCGGAGATATTTAGAAGATCTCTGTGGGAAGCGATCGTGTCTAAGTGGTAGCGCTCGGGGCTTATTATCGCTGGAACCGATTTGTATCGCAGGGACCGGGTCCTGCCAGAAAATTCCTAAAAAATCCTGTGCTGAAGAGGGCTGTAAATTCCTGTGCTGCAATATTTCATCGAAGGACGTCATGGAAAATGTGGGATGGGGGTGGGGGAAGTCTTTGGACGGGCAGAGCGGGGGGAAAGGGAGACAAAGGGGGGGGGGGGGGAAGTGTAAGATTTTCCCTTTTTTTTTTCCTGTTTCTGACCAAAGGCTGAACTTGTGCCCGAGGCACGGCTGCTGACAGCCAGCCCGCACCTCCCCGCAGCCGCCCCAGGCGCTTCGAGCGCTTCACTTCGCACCCGCTCCTGCTTTCGGCTTCTTTTCCCCCAAAACCTCCATCAGGTCCCGCTCGGTCCCGGAGCCCCGGGTGCCACCGGGAAAGGGCCCGTCCGCCATCAGACACACACACACACACACGCGTGGGGCAAGCCTTTTCCGTGTGGTGGACCCCCCCAAAAATGGTCAAATAATAACCCCCAATACCACCTCTCCCTCTGCCCGTTCACATCCCCTCTCCCAGCCTTAAGCCCCATTGTTTGAGCGCACCCCCTCAACCTTAATTAAACATTTAGGGATCGATTTGCCGCGGACCTGGAGCCAGAGGCCACGGAGATGGCCGCGACTGAAGGAAATATATATTATATATATATATATATATATATATATATATATGTACAAAGAACTAAAAAAAGCCCTCCTAAAACGCAAAACCCATCGAGGGAAAAGAGCCGATGCTGGGGAAGAAGGGGAGGGGGGGTCCTGCGGGTGGTGTTAATGCAAAGCAGGGGCAGCGGGGAGGGGGACATGAGGCGGTCACTCCCCTCGCCCTGGGTGGTCTGGGCTCGCAGGAACACCCCGGCCCCTCTCGGAGCAGCACCCAGCCCGCCTATAACAATACTACCTATATACATTTCCATACTCGGGTTACACCCGGCCTGCTTTGCAAAGTTGACTTCACTTAAGCAATTAGCTAGTGAAAATACCTTCGGCGCAGGAAAAGGAAGAAAGCTCGGATTTGTCTATTTTTACACAAAACACTGCCGGGTTTCGGGAAGGGAGGGAGGGAGAGAAGGGGAGAGGGTTTGGGAAGGAGCCGGTTAGGAAGCGTAGAAGGGCTGAGGGTGGGCGCGGGGAATACGCAGGATCGGGCCGGCAAAACGGGTTCCAAACAGTGCTGGGATTTGCAGGGCAAATTGCTCTAGATCATCTTTTAGTTTTCTTCTTCTTCTCTCACCCCCTTCCCAGCATCTCCCCATCGGTTCAAGCACACAAAGCACCAGCAAACAGGCAGGTCACACTCACAGCCACCATGACCCCCACGTTCATCGGACACCGCCCGGCCCGGTTTTTCCGCCCTAAAACTCTCCTTTTCCCCAATTCACGGGCTCGGTTTAAAACCCTCCAAGGTTTTTGCTATTCCCACTGCTAGGCCTATCAAACCCGGAGGGATATATTTGCATTTTTCACGTTCGCTGGCTATAATAAATACATCGGAAACCAAATCTTCACACTCTAAAAGATAGTGCGAGTGACGGAGAGGGCACTCCCGCAAGGACTTACTTGCTTTGAAAGGGAACCGTTTGATTTCCTCAGAGGGGGTGTTTTTGCTGGTTTATTTTGGGTTATTTGGGTTTTTTTTTTTCCGCTAGGAGCTATTTTATTTCCTAGTGGAAACGGTGCGGGTGGGACGGTTTTGAACGCGGATTTTACACGAGCTCTTTGTATTGCGTTTCGAGCTCCATCTCCGGGTGTTTTGGAGACACGCTGGGGAGATTCAGTCGCAGAGGGATGCAAAGCAAAGAAAAACACCCTTTTGGCAGCCCGGGGAGGGGCATTCGATGCAGACCAAAGATCAGGGTCAGCGATGCGCTCCCGCAGCTAAAATACAAAGAAATAGAGCGAGAAGCGTGGGGTTTATTCTGGACCAGCCGCCCCGGGGCTGTAACACCCGCGGAAGGTGATCGCTTCCCGAAAAACCGATTTTTCCGGGGCACCCTCCTCCTCCTTAAGGAAGAAGCTTCAGAAATCTGTATCCCCTCACTGTGTACCTGGCCACGGCCTGCGCCTGGCTGCCACGACTGTCCCCTGCTTGTCCTCTATGTCCCATCCCGTACCCCCGATTGCCCCGGGAACGGGAGGGCCGGTGCTTTCTGCAGAAGGGTTTATTTTGCGTGGAGGGGGCATACGATGGAAAGGGGGAAAAGAAGGTGGGGGGAAGCTCCTGATGTGAAATCCCTCTCGGTGGTGTCACAGATGTGACAGGCGCCCCGGAGGCTGCTCACAACTGCCCGCGAATAACGCGGAGGGAGTTTCTCAACCCGATCGGTATCTATCGTTCTTTTAAAAAGCATTAAATGATCATTGCAAAACTTTGAAAGCGAATCTGGAAGACGTGTGGGGGGGGGGAGGTTTTGGAAGGTTCCCCCTCCTTTCTCTCTGCAAGGGATTCAGAGGGACGGACCCGCAGCGCTGCGGCCTGCAAAGGCCAAAGGGGGTGTATGTATGTACGGTTTCTCTTCCTCTTTTTTTACTCCCTTTCCTTTCTCTTTTCTTTCCCCTTTCCTTTCCCCAGTCTTGAAAGGGAGCACGCTGCAGCAACCAGGGCATCTGCTCCGCTCCCAGCCAGCAGCCCAGGCTCCTGCCGCCCACCCTCACACCCCCCCCTCCAGAGCGCAGATTTCCACCCGCGATCCGCAAGAAGGTGACAAAGGTTTTAAGCGACTTACCTTAAGTGATATCTCTCCTGATGGGACGATGCTCAAAAGGGTGCACTGGGGGGGGTATTTTTGAAGGGGTTGGGGAGGGTAAGGGGGTTTCGACCCCCTGCATTCCTATTCTCTTTCCCCCCACCCCGCGTTTGTGCCCGCGGCATCCGCCGGAGCTGAGCATCAGGCTCCTGCGACACTTCAGCACGGATTTGTATAACTCTCCCTCAAAAATAGCCCGCCCCAGCCTCATCCTAAGGCAGCCTCGGAGCAGGCGAGGGGTCCGAAGCCCGCTCCTAATCCCCGGCCCGGCGGCAAAGACAGAAAAGGGCATTTCAAGAGGCAGCAGGAGTTTTCGCCGATTTCTTTTTATTAAAGCACCCCCGAGCCCGTGTTTACATTGCGCAGTATAAACATCCTGCCCTGGCCCGCCGAGCTTAAAAGAGCGCAAGAAGAGGGGGTTTCAAGTGGGTGAAACTCCGCGCAGCGCGGAGCCCGCGGCCGGGCAGCACCTCCGCAGCCTTGCGCCGCCCGCGGAAGTTCCGCGTCGCCCGCAGGCCCACACTGCCGCGCCCCGGCCCCTTCCACGGCCCTTCCCACCTCCCTCCAGTGACTTTTAGCAGGGGTGGCAGGGGAAAATGGGGGTAAATGGGGGAGCCCCACGCAGCGCCACGGCCACGGTTGACAAGTCCCCCCTCCAAAACACACACAACCACACGGGAGCGGGCTGGGATGTGTCGCGCAGCCCTTGTGTCGCTAGGGGTGGCGTAGAAAGGGCCCTTTAAAAGCTGCCCACCAGCTGGGAGCGGGTGCGGAGGGGGACGGGCCGGGGCGGGGATCGCCCCCCCCTCCCCGCTCTTACGTCTGTCAAGGAGCGGCAGACGACGCCGCTAGAGATAAAGTAAAAGGCGAGCAGCGGGGCCGGGGGCAGACTCGACAGCCACCGCGATGGGAAGCAGCTCCCCGCAGCACCCGCAGCGCCAGCCCAGTTAGAGCCGGGGCAGGGGGGGGAACGGGGACGGCGGCCCCGGGATCCCGGCCGGCCGAGGGACAAGGCGGAGGCCGCCGGCTTCTTTCTCGCAGCAGCCGAGCTCAACTCGCTTCCACCCGCCCCCCCCATCCCGCTTCCCTGCCCGCCCCCCCGACCCTCCGCCTCTCGCTCGCCTTCTGCAGCCGGGCTCGGATTTAGGGATAAAGTGGGAGGAGGAGGGAAAGGGGGGCTGGGGTGGGGGGGGAATCGTTGCTTCCATTTGTTTATCCACGGAGGGGTGAAGTCTCCCGGTGGAAAGAAAACCCCGCCGGGGGGCCGGGAGGAGGCCGGAGGCGGGGTGAGTGGAGGCGAGCCCCCAGCAGCGTGGCCTTTTGGGGGAGCGCGGGGGGGGTGTTGGCGGAGGAGGGCCGGGGCTGGCCGCCGAGGACCCGGCCGTAGATGACTGCAGAAGCGCAGCAGGCTCTGTCCTCTCAGCCCCCTCCTCCTCCGGTGCAGAGCAGCTACGGCCCCATGTCCTCCGTGGCCGAGAAGCAGCCGCAGAGCTCGGCCATGGACACCGCTTCCGCGGCGCCCGGCGGGGCGACCGGCAGCGCCCCGGGTAGCGGTGGAGCCCCGGGCAGCGGCGGTCCCAAAGCGAAGAAGACCAACGCGGGGATACGGCGGCCGGAGAAACCTCCTTACTCCTACATCGCCCTCATCGTCATGGCCATCCAAAGCTCACCCTCGAAACGCCTGACCCTCAGCGAGATCTACCAGTTCTTGCAGAGCCGCTTCCCTTTCTTCCGCGGCTCCTACCAGGGCTGGAAAAACTCGGTGCGCCACAACCTCTCTCTCAACGAGTGCTTCATCAAGTTGCCCAAGGGACTGGGACGCCCGGGCAAGGGCCATTACTGGACCATCGACCCGGCCAGCGAGTTCATGTTCGAGGAGGGCTCGTTTCGCCGCCGACCCCGCGGGTTCAGGAGGAAATGCCAAGCGCTGAAGCCCATGTACAGCATGATGAACGGGCTCAGCTTCAACCACCTCCCCGAGAGCTACGGCTTCCAGGGCTCGGCCGGGGGGCTCTCCTGCCCCCCCAACAGCCTCTCCCTTGAAGGGGGTCTGGGGATGATGAACGGGCACTTGTCCAGCAACGTGGAGGGGATGGGCCTCGCGGGACACTCCGTGCCCCACCTGCCCGCCAACGGTGGGCACTCCTACATGGGCGGCTGCACCGGCTCCTCGGCTGGGGAATACCCGCACCACGAGAGCTCCGTGCCCGCCTCCCCGCTGCTCGCCGGCGGCGGCGTGATGGAGCCTCACTCGGTTTACTCCAGCTCGGCCTCAGCTTGGGCACCCTCCGCCTCGGCGGCCTTGAACACCGGCGCGTCTTACATCAAGCAGCAGCCTCTGTCGCCCTGCAACCCCACGGCCAACCCGCTGTCCTCCAGCCTTTCCACGCACTCCCTGGACCAGTCCTACCTGCACCAGAACAGCCACAACACCGCCGAGCTCCAAGGTAAGACGCAGACACGCGTGGGACTTACCGAGGCCACCGCCGCAGGGGGGTCGGAGCGGGGGGGGGGGCATGGCCATGCGTGGATCCACTCCTCGCTTCCCTTCCGACCGCACCCGGGAAGCCGTCGGGGTTCCTTGCTACTGCTGTGATGTGACCGGCCGGGTCGGGGCTCTGCTACCCCTGGAAGCCGCTCTGCTGTCGAGGCCTCCGGGCTCAGCCAGGCGGGGGGCTGCGGGGTTAGGGTTCTTTCCCCTTCTACTGGGACATGGGGAGCTCCGGAGGGAGAGCAAGGGGGAGCATTTCACCACTAGGGTGCCTGCCATCCTCACATTCCCGACCCCTCCATCCGCTCCTTTCGGGGCTCTTTCCCAGGCCCATCGCCTCCCTCCACCCATGCGGAAATCGGAGCCCCCCCTCACCCCGCGTCCCCGGCCCGGCATCGCCACCGGCTCCTATGTGGAGCTGCTGGAGGGGATTTGCCCTGGCTATCGGAAGGGGGGAGATGGTGGTTAGGCCGGGAGGAGGCCTCAGGAGGGAAGAGGCCAGAGCTGGGCTTTGTCTTGCGGCCCAAATTCAACTCGGGAGTAGAATCTCAGTGTACCGGGCAGCCCTGGGAGCTGTGGCCGTTAAAGGGACAGGTTTGGAGATCCTTGCACATCACCCCGGGGCTTGGGGAAGCGAGAAGTACCAGGCGCAAACGGGTGTGAAAGGGAGCGTTAGCGGGGCACAACCACGAAGTGGAGAAAAACCGCACATCAGCAGGGCCAGACGGAGCGGCCTGGCTCGAACACAGCCCCGGGCCGCTCCTCGGCGGTGATCGCACCCGGATCTGCTGGAAAACAGAGCAAAAATCAAGCCCGAGGAGCCTCCGGGCCCGCCCGCGGCCTTAACCAGAACGCTCTGATTTAACGCCCGGGTGATGGGCGCTGGCGCGGCAGGCAGCAGGGCTCAGAGCGGCTGCTCCTCCCTGGAGCACCCCGAGTTTAGCGGGGGTTTTCTGTCCCCAAGTGGCATCAGAAAACGCAGGAACAGCTCCGGTCCTCCCAGCGCTTCGCCCTCGGCCTCTCTGCCCGGTCCCTGCGGAAGCCAGGGGAAAAGCAGCCGGTGCCTTCAAGAGCGTAAAATGGGGGGCAAATCAAACCCGACCCGACCCAGACTCCGTCTCCTCGAAGGCCGGGCAGGAGTTTTTCCCCACCGCACCTGTCCGCACCCGCGGAGCCCTAGGAGCACCCATGTATCTGTGTGAAAACGCATAAATACAACCAATTCCGCCCTAGACCTGGGGGCTGCGGAGAGGCTGGGGTGGGTTTTGCGGTTGTTTTGTGGTTTGTTTTGCTGTAGTTTTTTAACCCAGACGGCGGCATTTTCCCTCCTCTCCCCGTCTTCAACTTCCCCATTAAATATAATGTCGATGCCTGACGATCTTTCCTCTCCGTCCCGCAGGCATCCCGCGGTATCACTCCCAGTCTCCGAGCATGTGCGACAGAAAGGAATTCGTCTTCTCTTTCAACGCCATGGCCTCCTCCTCCATGCATTCAGCGGGCAGCGGCTCCTATTACCACCAACAAGTGACATACCAGGACATCAAGCCGTGCGTTATGTGATACAGCGCGGAAAAAACACCTCCCGGGGGCGGCGAGGCCTGACCCGAACCTCGACGCCCCCCTCGCGGACCCTCGATGGAAATGAGAGGGGTCTCTGCGAAAAAGACTGTGCCCGGGAGAGAGATCCCGGCTCCTCGGGAGTGGGTTGGGGGATAGGGGCTAAACTTGCCCCACAGCTGAGCATCGGCCGGACCCTTCAATGCGGGTCCTCAATCACAGATGGTCTCTGCCTTCTTCTGCTTCTTCGTTTGGGGTTGGGTTGAGAAGAAAGCAAAGAACCCTCCCCGCGAAAAACCCTGACTGCGAGTTTGCGTTAAGGGATTCGACAAATGAGGGTTTGATGTTTCTTTTTAAAAGAAAAAGGGGAAAAAATATAGTTCAATTACTAATTCAATTTTGTCCTTGGCATTGAGCAGTGCCACCAGAGCGACTGGCGGGTGCGGAGCCGGCTCGACCTGGGGTTGGGGGGGGCCTGTAAACGTTCCCGACCCCAAAACGGGCGCATCCCGCGGACCCTCCGCCCTGCCCCGCGGGAGGAGCGCCCGGGGTCCCCCAGCTCGATCCCCTCTGTCCCGCTTCATTTCGAGCCCATTCTTCTAAGAAATGCCCCCATCTTCCTTTTCTTTATCCAGCAAACACGCAGCGGGCAAAAATCTCTCAGAGGGGATTATATTTTAGCTATTAATATTACTTTTTTGCCTGCATAGAAACTGCAGGATCAGACCCAACGCAGAGAGAAAAAGGCACTTTGAAAAGAGACAGCCATGCTCATTCTGTTATTTATTCTACATTATTTTTGTTGTTGTTGCTAATAATCGAGACACGAGTAGTCTCAGTTGATCAGTATTAAATCGGTGAATCTCTGTTGGCAATATTTGCCATATAGATTTTTTCTAGTTAACCTTTATAAATTTTAAGCTGATCGTGGTCTCTGTGTAAAGGCAATTCTCCTATATGTTTTTATAGAAATATATATATAATGAAGGATTATTCCCCTCCCTTCACCCCCCCTCCGTATTTTGTCTTTTTGCCCTGACTTCATACAGTTCGGTGATACCTATTTTAATTCTTTCTGCACTGTATAAATTTGTAACTTCTTGGGGTTATTTTTTTTTCTCCGTGCCCTTTTCTGTACGTTTTGTCCCTAAAGGAAAAAAAAAATCGAACCAAAATAAAACATGTATGTTATTTGTACATGGGCTTCACGATTGTACGAGCAGCAAATAAACGAGCATGCGGTGTAACACGCGTAGTTATATCTGAGGAGTCCGTGGGCTCCGAGAAGCGCTCCCACAAACATTCCTGCTATAATTCCCCACCTCGGTGCGGGCTCGAAAGGGAATTTAAGGGGTGGGGGGGCTTGGTGGCGGCTTCCAGCGTGGAAATACTTAGAATGAGGGTAAGGAAAAGAGGAAAACCGGAGGCGATTTAAGTTTTTCTCTCTCTATGATAGTTTAATTCTCTTCCCCACGCCAACCATCCAAGGAGAAAGCGAAAGGAGGGGTTTAACACTTATTCTTTGCTTCTTATCCGGGGACGAGGCGCGGCGCTGCGGGGATGGAGCCTGTGGCTCCTTCTCTCTCCTTCTCCATCCCGGGAGGGACACGGTCATTTTCGGGCAGCCCGAACCGCGCATCCTCGCGTAACCTCCGCTGGTAGCGGCCGCAGGAGAGCGATAGTAATAATAGCAATAATAATAATAGCAATGAGAAAATATTCAAACCGACTGATATCTGCACCATCACGGTCCTGCTCCGGGCAGAGATAAATCCGCAGCGAGAGGAGAGAAGGCAGTGGGGACACACCCGGCTCATAAGAAAAATAAGTCTTTTTCTGCAGAATTTGGGTTTATTTGGTCTAATTTAGGTTCCTGCCCTACCCAAGGAATTTCGCTTTGATCCGTGGTCCGATACGCCTGTCTCAGCGCTCACACTATGAATTTTATACACTCATTGAAAAAGGAAAGATGCACGCAAATTAATCTGATTAGTTGGCTGTGTGTTTCTGCCTTTATATGGGGAAATTAGGTTAGTGCGCGGTAATTAGCCCAGCTGTGTGTAATCAGCTTAATTAAAACCAAAGTTAGCCGGTAACAACAACAAATCTAACCATTCTTTTAATTAAGGCAGGTGGGAAAGGCTCTGTCAGAGATGGTGAAGGCCTTTCACAGTGAGTGGGGGTTTTGTTGTTATTTGGGGTTTTTATTGAGGGGGGTTGGTTTGGGGATTTTGGGGTTGTTTGGTTGGATTTTTATTTTTAGAGTATATCTGTTTAAGTAAGCCAGCAACAATCAGCCCACAGTATTAGTGGGGTTTTCCTGGTTTTATGCTTTTATGGGTTGATCCCTCCATCGTTGTCTGCCCTGCTGCCCACCCCTGTTGGAGGTAAGCCGCATCATTCCCATCCTTTTTATATCCAAGCTGAAAACTGAGGTTTTTTTTTGCTCTTAAAGCACATATCTGTGCTAAGGTGTGGCTCAGATAAAAGTCCAGGCTTAGGAGTTCAGTTTTTACCAAGTGGTTCTTCCTTCGCTGATATTTCACTGTTGCTCCTAAGGTTCATCTTCATCCTCGAGGATGAATCTTGGACGTGCCCCTTTGTGTGTGGCACCGTTGCCAGGCTGGAAAGGGTAGGCAGGCACCTTGCAAGCCTAAGGTCCTGTCTGAAGGGGCTTGTTCCCAACAAAGGTTTACACGATTCATTTTTCTCCCTCCTGTCGTTTTCCAAACCTGGAAAAACAGAACCACCGCATACCATGGACGCCACATATTCCTCAAGCCAATGAGCGCAGTCTAAACAGGCAGCTCTCCATCTCAGACACCTACAGCAGAGAGGAGAAGATGAAACCCCACCAGCTCCTGTCCCCAGCTCTTCTGCACAAGACAAACTCGAGTTTTTCCCTGAATGTATTGTCCAAAGGGATAGCAAAAACCTCTAGCTGCTATCACAGCAGTCCCTTTGTACAAGCTTCACTCGTTCATCTTGTTGGGCTCTGGCAGAAGTCAAGTAGAAGTCAGCTCGCTCAGAAATCTCCTGTGCGAGGAGATGAGACATAGGCTTGCTCAGAAACACTGTATTTTCTCATGTAATGGCCCAGATCTGACCGTGGTCAGCTGCTGTGGCACAGTTCAGTGTCAGCAATCTCATCACCCATTTTCCATTCCATATGTGACACAACAACACGGTTTTCTGTGGGGTTTTGGCACTTCTACTGTAGGAAGGAGTTCCTCATTGCAGATGCCCTGTGAAGGCCCACGAAATTGGGCTGAAATTTTGGAGCATACTGAGAAACAGGGCCTGGTGCATCCAATGAGATTTGATGCAAGATGTACCCCCAGCTGGGAGTCCGGGATCAGGGCCATCACCTGCCATTGCTGGGGTGCATTGGCAGCCTCAGTGCTTCCCTTTTCTCCTCTCCGGGGACTTCTCCCACCCCTACAGGGTCACCCAGCGCTGCATCCCGTGTTGGCAGCTGCCATCCCAGCCGAGTTTGTGCCCCCCAGTGTGTTTATGAGGGATGCAAGGTACCACATTGGGGCATGGCTTGGGGATGATGGGGGGATCTCGAACCGGGGACATACACTGTGGAGCCCCTGCAACAGGCGATGCAGGGCTGGGTCCCCCAGAAGCATGGGGACACGTTTATGGGGGGGATCTGCGGTCCTTCTGGAGAAGGAAGCGTTGCCGTCAAGGGGCCTCTCGGGAATGTGGGGGGATCCCAAGAGGGGTCCGACGGCGCCGTTCCCTTTGGAGGCAGCGCCACCTGCTGTCAGCGACCGGCAGCACCGGCACGGCTCGCCCCCGGACGCCTGTCTTTCCAAAACAGGGCTTCAAACCCGGCTGGATCAGGTTGTTTCTGCCCTCCCCTATCCCTACGTGCATGTGTGTGTTAAATCTTCCCTTTCTTTTGCTTTATTTTCTTGTTCCCTCCTGGCATCCGGAATCTTGAAGGTGATCGTCCCTTTGTCGCATCTTCAGATTCAGCATTGTGATGTTTGGGGTTGAACAGGCCAGGTTCATGGGGGGCTTCTGGATCAGGGCTGTACTACACCCAGGCAGGGACACTCGGCATGGGATAGGAGGAAATAGCGTATGAATGCAGATGTTTGGCACACGATGCTCTTGGATGAGGCTGGTTAAGTAGACTAGCAGAAAACCTGCTCCTTGGAGACTTAACTGGTGGGAAGACAGCTTGGACCTTAAATGGGTATTTGGAAAGCCAAGTCTGAGATAGGTAGATTAGTTAGCAGGTAGATTTTCATATCCATCCAAATAACTGGATGCCTGATTCCTCTCTCAGAACCAAGGAATTTGGGATCTATGTACATACGGGAATCCATGCCACAGTTCTTGTCACATTTGAAAAGAGAGCTTTGATTTCTGTGTTACTGCAATGCTTTTGGAAGACCATGCCTGAGCATTTGTTCCCTTTCCATGCATATTCACAAGGCTAACTGCTGCCTGAAACTGATCTCTGCAGGAAAAGACTATACTTTGGGCTTTGTGTTCACACATTCCAAAGAAATCTTTGCCGCTGGGAGCCATCCTCTAGGAAGAAATACCTGGTGCAGGTGAGCATGTGTCTGGCTAATGGAGAACCCCCTCCAGTGAGCAGGGTATGTCCTGAGCACTAGCAGCAGCTCCACAATCCTGAGCTGATGTTCACAGAAACAATTAGGAGGAAAGGCATGCAGCTCAGTTGGGTCTTTAAGTAACTTTCACTGCCAGTATTCATCTTGCTTGGTAAGAAACTAAAATTAGAATATTAGTAAGGAAAGACAGCAGAAGGAATAAACCTTACTGAGCCACTGGGCTGGAGATCTATTTGTACAGCTCATAAAAACCTCTTTGAGACCAACTCCTACTATTACAGGTTGCTCTGACCCACCAAACTTCTGATAAACTTGATTTTAACTCGAATCTTAAGATGAGCTAAATTTTTGCAAGGAAGATGCAGATCACAGAATCATACAATAGAACCCCAGACTGGTTTGTGTTGGAAGGGAGCTTAAAACTCATCCAGTTCCAACCCCTGCCATGGGCAGGGACACCTTCCATTGGAGCAGCTTGCTCCAAGCCCCTGTGTCCAACCTGCCCTTGAACACTGCCAGGGATGGGGCAGCCACAGCTCCTCTGGGCACCCTGTGCCAGCGTCTCAGCACCCTCACAGGGAAGAGCTTCTGCCTAATGTCTAAATCTACCCTCTTACAGTTTAAAGCCATTCCCCCTTGTCCTGTCACCACACGCCCTTGTAAAAATCCACCAGTAAATCTCACTGAGGTGAATCACTGTGTCATAAACATGAATTTCCTCTTCTTGGATACTTCCCACAGGTCCTCTGAGAGATCCCAGGAAGCCTGCAGGCCACTGGGACAAGCATCAGAGTGACTGACAATTTTCGAGGTCAAACCATCTCTGCTTAACTATGGAAAGAGATGTGGGGACACTGGCAG